AGAAAATTACGCAGACCATCGAAGTTTCCGTTTTTGTAATCGAAAACCTGGCGCTTAACTGGCGTGGCTCTTTTGAACTTAAGATGAATTTCAAGTTCTACGATGTCATGATCTGTAGGAAAACCACAAGACTCAGGATGAGATAGGGAAACGTCACCAATAATGTTGGGAGTGTTACATAACAGCAGGTCGAGTATATTGCCAGCGATGTGTGTAGGGCTAAGTATGAATTGTTGTAGGAAGTTGTCTTCGACTATTTCGCAAAAAGCTTCATTCTCAGGAGAACTTCCGATGTTAATGGGGGTATGTTGATCAGGGGACCATTTAACAGATGGTAGATTAAAGTCTCCTATCACTACAACACGGCTGGATTCCGAATTTCTTTGAAGGGAGTTATTTAATGACTGAAGAACATCAGGCGTAGAGTTTGGAGGACGGTAGAACGTATAAAGTACAACTGGTTTGCTGTTTGATTTCAACATTTCAATAACGACAATTTCGGTGTTTTCAGGTTCCAGGTCATGTCGACGGGTAACTTGTATACCAGTCTTCACAGCAACAAGAACACCACCACCAATTCTGCCAACTCTGTCACAACGAAAGACAGATCCATAATTAGTCAAGATTTCACTGCTTAAGATTGAATTGTTTAACCAAGTCTCGCATACACATACAACGTCGTAATTACCGCTATATGTCAATTGTTGCAGCAACGAGATTTTACAAATTTTTACCGAGTTGTCCCCAGTTGGATGAACAAGTGCTTTTAGACTTCTAGCATTAAAATACAGAACTTTTAATCCAAGAGATGAAGAATTGCAGACAGGTCCAGGATTAGTTGCTATATCACCAGCGAGTAGAATACACAAGAGAAGGTGCAAATTACTAGTCGTAATGTTAAATTGAAGTCCATATCTGTGATTAGACATGAGAGGGAAAGTAGACTTACGTAAAGTATTATCGCGCGTGGAAGACCAAAGACAACACAATCGATTTGATATTGACAGTAGTTCTGACGAAATGCTACAGATATTCTGGGGAAATGTTCTGTCGTTGAATTCAAATTCTGATGGTTTTGATCTTAGTGATAACCAGAAAGTTAAAATGAGAAAAAAGAGATACCCAAAAACTTTATTTAGCATTTTATTTAAGGTTATTTCGTTTGATTTAATTAAACTCCATTACATAAGACAGTTGTTGCCATATTTCTTAGTATTTTGTTAGTTGTTGCCATATTTCTTAGTTATTTCTTAGTATTTTTTTTTAGATGAAAAAATACTAAGAAATAAAATAGTACATTACTATCATTAGTGTTCCTAAAGCTATTGCTAAGGTTTTTATAATTTATTTACATTAATTAGATAATAAATAAAGGGATTTTGCTTTTCTCTTAAAAGAAAAATAAGTTTTAGTATTTTTAATTTCGTCATCAAGAAAATTCCATAAAGAAATTGCTTTGTTAAATACAGTGTATATACGGTAGTTCGTTCTTTTATAACTCACATGTAAATTGGTAGAATTTCGCGTATTATAGTTGTGCACATCGTTATTTTGTTTGAAGTAATTATAAAAGTCCGGCAAATTTTGACAATAGTAGCGACGATACATGAATAAACTACATAAATGATCATTGATTTGGTAGATGTTCAAGATTTTCAAATCCAAAAATTATGCTTGTTAAAAAGGGACAAAACATCAAGGTCCATATATATATATTAAGATCCATATATGTATGTCAAAACTTGATATATATGTATTAAGATTCATATATATGTATCAAAAACCGTATATGTATGTCAAGATTCATATATATATATATATATATATATGTCAAGATTCATATATATATATGTCAAGATTCATATATATATATATATATATATATATATATATATATATATATATATATAT